AACAGTTCGGCACTAATTGTCTGGATCTCATCTAGGATAATCACAGAAATTTCCCTAACTCTATTTCTCAAATTGTTTGATACTTTGGCTGTAACAAATGGCAGTAAATTACTTGGAGTAAATCTTCCTAATTCATAAAAACCATTAATCGTGCTACCATTAAGATGACTCGCAGCTATACCACTACTAGCTAAGATTGCATACTTCTTATTATTTCTATCTAAATAATTGACAATTTTACTGGCCAAAAAAGATTTTCCAAAACCGGGCTGGGCTAAACAAGAAATTATGGAAGAGGAAGAAATTACCCGTTTTATAGAGCTGTAAGCACTTGCCTGGCTAGATGTAAGCTCCCAGGGTCGCACTTTTCCGGTATACACCCACTCTAGCACTTTTTTAGTTGAAATTGTGGCTTTCTGAACTCGCAGGAAATTTTTGTAAAAACTCTCCGGTTTATCGAATCGCTCGTTCATCCTCTCGCGTGCGGAAGCTCCGAGACACGGGGTTTTATACTCATAGGCTCCTCCCACAAATGCCCGCATGCGCACATACGCGGGTATAACGTATTATTAACGTAGTTTTGCCCTACTTAATCGGATGACCGGAAGACCATTCATTTTGGCACATAATATGCTCCCACAAGCGGGGGAAATATTTTATAAATGAATTGACCTGCTTAATCGGGTACCCGGAAGATAATCAATACATAAACTTTGATTAGTCTTTCATTCGTACTGAAATAAAGTAAACATGCTTGATTCACCTTCTTATCAAAGCATTCAGAGCGAGCGTCCGTTGGTGAACCTGACTGAGATAATATTTATTGATCACTTTCTTCTCACACAAGATCTACTGAAAAATGCGACTCATGAAAACCCGGAAATTAAGACGTATTAATTCATGCATTGGCTCTTATCAAAGTATTACGACCTACATATCACTTATTTACCGCCCATTTTCTTCCCTCCAGTGCAACTTCCTCCTGGAGGGGACTTTGTCACACTTTCCCTTCATTCAATTTTATTTCCCTTTTGATCATGTGACACCACCATCGGTGGTATATAAAGCCGGGTCGGAGAGAGCCATCGGCAACTTTACTCTCTCTGAACCTCTGAATATTTCCGAAATAATACTCCGCAAAAATGGAAGACATCAAAATCGAGCCCATCACCCCACCACAAAGCCCGATGACGCCCAGGAGCCCGGATCACTTTGACGACGAAGGGGATCGGCCACCAACGCCCATCATCCCACTGGAACCACAACCGGGTCCTTCTCGTGAGTTACTCGCGCCAAGAAACCTCCTCAGGGATAAATACCAAATTTTCATGCACCGAGGTGAGCAAGAAAGTCAACAACAAGCGGGGGAAGAACAACCAGGAGTACAACTGATGGGGGAAGAGCATTTCGACGAGCTGGAGGACGAGGACGATGTTTTCGTGGCCCAGCCACAAGGGCCCCCAGAGCAACCCACCCACTTGGTGCGGAATCCAAAAAACCCAAACTTTTGGACTATGGGAGAGGTGGTGAGGGTCAAGGAGTTCGAACTAAAGATTGCTCGCTCCAACAGGAGCAATGAATTTATGCTGGTGATGCGACAGAATCTTGTCTTCCAGCCGAGCTACCCAATCATAACAGTAAGTGGGTCTTCTCTATTAATAAGTCTTCTTAACTCACTATTCTATTTTATTTTGCGCAGATTACCCCGTACGAAATGTTGGAATTGAGACTTATGCTCCGAGCTGCCATCCGCAAAATCAACAAAGATCCTACAACAGTTTTGAATGCACAAAAGAAACTCAAAAGGGTCCATAACCTCAAGCGCACCAAGCGTTTCTGGACTTCTAGCCTTGTACAACGTTCGGAATCCGGGTAATTTTTTAGTGATTAGTAGATGTAGTAGTTAGTTTCGGAGTTTAGCAGGAATTTGCAATAATGTATCTTTATTTCAGGCTCTTGTCCTGCCGCCAATGTGTCAATGATCGCGGGCTCTTCCAGGTGGTCTTCCGTCAAATCTGAAGGACAGAGGGACACCAGCGCATGGAGAGGGAATTCGAGTACTTCTCCACCAACCGGATGGCAGCAGCCTTACTTGCTGCCAAACTATGGGGGATGCGTATGGAAATTTCGATGCTGGAGACATGTGACCAGTTCCAGCAAGAAGTGGTTCTCCGCGTCGACGACGACGACATGGAGGACGAGAATGACGACGACACATCAGTCGAAGATGACCAATAATTTGATATGAATTATGATTCCTAATAATATTTTTTGCATGGTAGTAAATGAGTAGACTGAATAACTTTGACCCGCCATGTCTTTGTTCATTATTCATTCGCTTCCTCGCATAGCCATTCATTGCATGCAAACTCAACTTGACACTTGCATAAACACATCATTACCATTTCCACTGAGAGCACGATGGGTGTCCGGTTTAATTTTTTTCTATTTGAGATAGGTTCGTACGTAGTTCGACATAATGATAACAAAATACTTCAAGTTGTCGAATTACAAATAATTAAGGGTAAACGTTGGTACAAATGTACCCACAACGGATTTAATTTTTACGTGCCTGAGTGCAAACTTATGGGAATAAACATCCAGATGCTCCAGCAGTATCCGCTTCACATTAGAGTCGGCGATCATGAAACCTTTGACTAAAGTAAGTTAAATATAAACAAAGATTTGTATATAAAGCAATTAAATCTAATTGTTCCAACTCTCTTTCTCACAGATCGTCTCTCCAGATCCTTCCCATCATTCTCTTCCCAAGATTCGTCACGTAAACCAGATCCAGCATGAAAATATTTCTCCTCTTTTCGGTTATGGGTGTGGCAACCTGCTGCTCATACCTAACGTGTGAGCAGTGCATCGCAACGAAGGGGTGCATATACGCAAAGACGAGGGACAATGCGACGGCCTGCCTGGCTCGGGAGGATATCCGAAAAATCCGGATTTCGAGGAACTACGCAGAATGTGGTAAGCATTCGCCCTTAAGTAAATGCCACAAAAGACATTAGGTTTAAATTCGTTTAAAATTGCAGTCTCAATCACAACCACCACTCCACCAACTCAACTTGAACCTCCTCAGCCGACAGCAACTAAGCCCCCACCTCCGCCACCACGTCCCACAATAAAGCCATCTTCTCCGAAGAACGTGGAAGTCCCTCGACCAGAAATAGTCTCATCATTGCCCCCGTATGCACCCCCACGGTTGCCTCCCACTACAACTCCTCTCTCGTCTACAACCACACCCACCACAACTCGTCCTCCTCCTCCAACATCAGCCAAGCCTTCCTTGCCACCCATTGTGAGACCCCGTCTCATCCCGTCTCATCCTCCGAACGATACATCATCCCAAATCCCAATGTCTCAATCTCCCCATGCGACACCAACTACAACTAAAACTCCAGAAACAACTCCAAGAGCAGTTAAGCCTTCCTTGCCACCCATAGTGAGACCCCGTCTCATCCTCCAAACAAGCCATCATCTCAAATCCCGATATCTCAATCTCCCCAGCCAACGGCTGCGACACCAAAAAATGATGAGATGATGAGACACCAACCATGCCATCTCCACCAGACCAGACACTCTCTCCTTCCACTCGTGACGAGCTCATCAATCCACGAGAAATGCATCCACCACGTCATCCACCTTCTAATGCTTTGAGTCCCCTGTTCTTCCCCAAGAAATTTAAAATGTCTCCTGGTTTCTTATGCAATGAAAGTAAAGGTAAGATGAATCAGGAAATCAGAGGTTGGTGCAGATTGCTTCATATCCAAAGCAAATACGCTTCTCCCTACATTATGTACCCTAACCCTATGTATGGCAAGGAGATTGAATGTATCCATATCCTCCTTCATTATGCCAATTGCAAGTAAATTAAGAATATTTCTGCAAATAATTTTTCTATCATGAACTATATTTTATTTCATGCTTTATACACATTGAATTTCTTAGTTTTAGTATTGAATAAATAAAGATAAATAATAAATTTTTATAAGAATCTTTTAGCTCTCTGAGCATTACGTTCGGCGATCATCATCGCCTCCTCATATTTTATTTTTTTATCATATTTTTCGGCATTACTGTGTCTAAATTTAATTTTTTTGTAGGCATCAGCCGTCAGACGCTGATGAGCAAATTCCTCCTCTGCCTGAAGGAGGAGAGGTAGAGCTTGTTCAGCCGCTGACGGCTGATAACCATTATGCAAATTTTCTAGTCTTTTGTTAGCTACTCTTCATTTGTGCTGGTTGACGATTTGATCCATTCCCTGATCATAATAAAGTTTGGCCTTTTCCTCTCTTTTCTCATGTGAATAAAGCCAACCTTTATATCGACGTTTGGCGTTCGTCTCCTTATAAACCTTATTAAGATATACTTTCCTAAGCTGACCGTGCGTTGATTTTTTATAGCCGCCTCCCTAGTAAGTTGTATGGGCTGACGCGGGTCTTGCTCCTTTTTACTGAAACACTGCTCAAGTTTTATGTGAAACTTCTCCCATTTTTCATTTGTTCGCCGTTTCCTGGCACGACGACTTTCCTTCTTTTTGCCCCTAGAAACAAAACAAAGGCCCTTAGAAACTCTGGAAATCTATTCTAAAACCCCTAAATATGAATTATCCCCCGATCCCCAGGGGTAACGGACAAGAAAACGGATCACCTATCTAGCCTGGTGGCGAAAAACTACTACGATTTGACACCCCACTCGTCATTTAATGACGTGGGTTATCTGGGCGCCGTGGCGCCCGTCTGACCTAGCGGGTATCTGTACATACATATCCCATATATACGGTGAAGATAGCTTCTCTCTATCTTCCACCGTTCTAAAATTACGCGTCCGTATCGTTGTACGGCGTTTTTCAGCCTTTGCTGATACCCGAACCGGAGATATCGCTTCTCATACTCGGCACATAAAGCGCCAGAGGAATTTGGGACATTAGAAATTCAATTAAACCGTTCATACAAAAATAAACAATTATCAAACTAACTTTTTTGCTTGATTTTTCGGTTTTTCTCGGTTTTTCTTGTCCTGCTTGCTCTGCTTATCCCGTCCCATCTCGGCCGAACTGCAAAATATATATGCAGTAAGTATATGTACATATGCGTGCAAATTCATTCACAATTAAACGTAATAAACTTACCAAATCCGTATTATCAAGGTAAATGTATGTATCCGGGTCCAATTGAATTATGCAATCCAGAAAAATCCGGCAGGATCTGCAATTTATGCAGATATTTTAATTATCACCTCATCACAGCTCGTAATAAATAAACACTCACCGCTCTCACTGGCCGAACCGGTTAAACTTCTCGGAGTCACAAATTCACTTTTTAACAATAATTGTTGCTGATTTAGATATATTTATCAATGTGCGTGCACGATGTGTAATGAGAAATGCGTAAATGGCGACGCATTTTTAAGATAAAAATGTGGCATGGTAATGGTGGTGGTAAGAAGCGCGACCCAATTTAATGGGGGAGATAGAGAGACTTATTTCATATGTATGGAGAGACATACATACATATGTACACACGCGAGAGAGAGAGAGAGACAGATGCATTTAAGAGAGATGGGAGCGGTCGAAACCACGCCGTGGTCGAAAAATTCGACCACGCAACCACTCCCAATGCTGATAAGCATTGCGCCACGGTCGGGGGGGATGGTCAAACCCCACACCGAAACTAACTACTGTGGTGAATTTCTCCAGGGATGGTATGGCGACTGCAGTGATTAAACGCGTTGAGGATGGGAGAAAGGTACAGCTTTCTCTGATGGTTGGGTAAAGAAGGTAAAGGAAGGATGGGAGAAAGTGGCAACTTTCTCCAGGGCTACGCTGATGATGTATAACTCATAGGAAGGCGATGGGAGAAAGTGACGAGTGTGGAGAAAGTAACGGGCTGAGAAAAAATAACAGGATGTGGAAAAAGTAACAGGCTGGGAGAAAGTGGCGGGATGGGAGAAAGTAACTGGCTGGGAAAAGTGGAGCGATGGGAGAAAGTGACAGGATGGGGAAAAATGACGGCCTGGGAGAAAGTGAGGGACTGGGGAAAGGTAACGGGGTGAAATAAAGGTACCAAATGGAAAAAGTGACGGGGAAAATAGTGGAGATGGGAAAAAGTTGGGCTATCTGGATGAGATATGCCAGAAATACGCGAGCAAATAAAGCGAACAAGGCTTATATGTCCCTTCCGCTCCCCCACAATAACGGCCGGGGCCGAGAGTTGAGTTGAGACAGGCGATGGGGAGAAAGTGAGGCAAATTGAGACTCAGAAAACAACCGCGAGTGTGGTGAAAAGTAAAAATACCGTGCAATATAGAGGATCCGGTTCTCGAGACCACTGAAATGATGTTGGTAATTATAAGGTGGTTCGTCAAATAATTCTAACCTTGCAACACAAGTATTTTTAAAATTGAAGTGGGGACGATTTATTGAATGTCTTAATACGTCACGCAGTCAACTCACGACTGCCTTCGCATTCACTCAAACATGATTATTAAAGTAAGTTTGATGGATTTAATTGTTGAATAAGCTTATTTACAAGTGGTTGAGAGATTGACCATCTATGCGTGGCGTGTTACCTTTTCGCTGACTACGCATAGTTGCTCAATCCTTTAAACTAGAGTAACAATAATGAATACCGGAATCTGTTCGGACAAAAAGAAATTTGAACTGGATAAGCTTGTCATCGTTTATAGATCTGATTTTTGTGAGTTCAACGGTATCAATAATTTGGATCTACTCCGACTCCTCGCTGAGTGGGAGGAGCTCAAATTTGAAAAAAATCGCCCCATCTGCGATTTTTAGCGCAAAGGGGGTTCAATATTTTTGAAAGCGGTTTTCACCAGAAGCTTGCTAATTTTATTCCCTACAACCCTCTTCGACCATTTTTTGAAATTTCGAAAACGAATTACGCGATTTGGGACTAAGGGTAGGGAAGGGTCAAGTCTCACATAACCCAATAAGTGAGGTATCGTTGGAAAGGTCTCGGCGGGAGGATTCAGAATATACATACTTTGTCCCGTGCATAACCACTCCCTGATGTTCCAGGGACAGAAAAATATTTTTGAGTTTTTTCCCATCTATTGCTATGTTAGCTCCCAATCTACCCCTGTGTTAAGGTCTGGATGCTTGAAATCGTGAAATTTGTTTTTGGAATTTCAATAAATGGTCGAAAAGGGTACTAGGGAATAAAATTAGGACACTTTTGGTGAAAACCGCTTTCAAAAATATTGACCCGTCTTTAAGCTAAAAATCGCAGACGGAGCGATTTTTTTCAAATTTGAGCTCCTCCCACCCAGCGAGGAGGCGAAGTAGATACAAATTATTGATACCGTTGAACTCACAAAAATCAGCTCTATAAACGATGACAAGTTTATCCAGTTCAAATTTCTTTTTGTCTGAACAGATTCCGGTTTTCATTATTAGCTCACCTTGCGTAGCACGGGAGCTATTGAATTCCTCTTGTCCGTCCGTCCGTCTGTATGTTAACGACCTTTTTGCATCAATTGATGCTAATTAAACAGCCCCTTGACCATTATTGGATACGCTAGGCGCACCATTGGTACTAAACAAACCGAATCAAATTTTTTTAACAAGTTAATAGGACCATTGATATCAACAATCGGGAACACAAAATGATGCGAAGTAATTGGAGGCAGGGACGCAAAACGCACCAATAGTGCAGAATATCCGGGAGAAATGATCATACAATTTTGACATAAATTTTTCAAAATTATCGTTGCTCGTTGGTAGGTAATTCTGCACCAGTGATGCACAATTTTTGGACTGTTCTCGATGCATAATAATTATTGATCTATTTTGTTTAATTTTTCTGCACCATTGGTGCAACATTGCATAAAAATTATTGATCCACTTTGTTGGATTTTTCTGCACCATTGGTGCATAATTGCAAAAAATTATGTATCTATTTTGTTGCATTTTTCTGCACCTTTGCGGCAAGTTGTACCCAAATCATTATTAGCTCGCCCTGCGTAGCACGAGAGCTATTGAATTCCTCGTGTCCGTCCGTCCGTCTGTTGACGAGTTTTTTGCATTAATTGATGCTGATTAAAAATCCCCTTGTCCATTATAGACTTGTTTAGCCCCACCATTGGTATAGAACAATCCGAGCGCAAATGGTGCAAGTTAATTCAGCAAATAGATCGAGATAGGACTATAATTTTGGAATAAGTAGCACCGTTAGTGCCGAGCAATTGGTTGTTAAAAATGATGCGTAACAATTGGGCCATCTGTTTCCCCCCAAAAATCATGTCAGAATTCTGTTCTATTTGTTCGATTATTCTGCACCATTAACGCAAAAATATATAAATTTTATAATAAATAATTGTGGAAGGGATGCCCTATGCACAAATGATGCAGAATGTCGGGAGAAAGAACCATACAATTTTTTCAAAGTTTTCAAAATTATGTTCCCCGTTGGTCGCAAATGTTGCACTAGTGGTGCAAACTAATTTCGGATTTTTTTATATTCTTCCGTTGATATTGCGCCATTGGTGCAAGAATCTATGAGAGTTATAACCTATTTTGTCGCCTTATTCCGTACCTTTGGTGGAAAGTTATATGACAGGGTGAGCTACTTCTAACGTTACTACGGTTTATTCCATACTAGTGTAGAAGCCCGTCAATCGACGTGCAAAATAGGCCCGTCGATAAGCCCGTTACTCCAACATTAGTGAAGTTAGCCTCTCCTGTTCTATCGGCAGAGTGGAGAGAGAAAAGGAGAGGCTATCTTCTCAACTAAGCCACCGACCCAGCAGCGATACACTCGCCTGCTTTATATAGTTTAGATGAGGGTCTTAACAATATGTGCATATCCCAACAAATACAAGTACTGAAATTTGTCATGCTGTACATATATAGAGGTTTGGCCATTTAATTTGAGAAATGTCCAAAAGGCGCGTATTAAAATTGAGACGTTTATCCAACAATTTGCAAAATTTAGCAAATCTTACACATGTAAATTTGGATAAATTTTACATAACGGTTGAATAAATAATTTATCCAAACGTTGTGCAGAACATCCTGACGCTCTGCGGGGAATATACCTACTACTGCCATATATTCTGTCTCAAGCATTCCGCGCGCAAAGAACATCAGTAGCAGTTACGTTAGCCAGTTGTACTATTTTTTATTGAATTCCCCATGCAATTGTCTATCAGAAACCATCTTCCGAAATTTTTTGTGATACAAGGTGCTAAAATGACAGATCGGACAAATCGACGTGTTGCAATTTTTCAGAAACATTTTTGCAAACATTAAAATTCGGCATTTTTCAATAGATCATTAAAAATCGGAACTAATTGCAAGATGGTCGACCATACCATAAAATGATCCACTAACATTGGCAGTGTTGATAACCGAAAACCGAGTTGAAGGGAACGGTCAAAAAGGTCACAAAAACTCACGAAGGCGCACAAAACCTGAACTCGGCTGAATTCACGCCGGATCCTAAAAAAATTTCCCTACAAATGAACGGTCCAAGTAAAACTACGTCCCTGGCCCCTAAGCTCGACCTTGGACTTATGTCTTTAAGATGAGAAAAGAAACACTTGATAACTTCACGCCAAGTAAAAATAGTACCCTTGAAAGCCGCGCACTGATCATGCGGTACGCGCTTGAAAAATGGAAATAAGTATTTTTCAAAGATAAGTAAACTTTTACAATAAAGGCCATATAAAATTAGCAAGAGCACTTTGTCCACACCCCACCAGTCCATATTATTCATAAAATTTTTTAAAATATTAATCGGACCCACCATCCAGATTCTGTGATTTTTTTATTCGGCGTAGATTGGATTTGGTCAAAAAAGTGAATTGTCTTCCTCTGGGGGTGAAATTTCTTAGTATTTTTTAGTATTCTTAGTATTTCTAAGTATTTTTTGAAGTTATCGAGCGAATGGAAGAACCACTGGACCACACTCTATTAAAAAATAGCTGCCAAGTATTCGAGCAGGGCTCAGGACCTGCTGATAAGGCCAAAATAGTAAAAATGGGGTAAAATTCCAAAATTTCTTACTCCATTTCGGATCAAGAATAAAATTCACTGTCGCCGAACCTCAACCTTCTGGAATACGATATGTGGTCCAAACTGAAGCTAGATACATGTGCTAAACACCACATAAGTTTGGAATCCGAGAAAAAATCTGTCGCTTAGAAATGAGACTAATATTCCTTGGACTGAGTGCGTATCGCGAGTGAGATGTGGATATCTAGACTTTGGGCTATTGTAGCTTCGAAAGGAGGAAATTTTGAAAAGTGTCCGGTATATTTTGTAAGGAATTTAATAGGCTTTCTCATGATATCGTTCGTTTTTTAAAATTCACTGAACTGAGTCCGCTAAATTAATTTGTTTAGTGGTCAAAACTTATGGCAGTAGTAGGTACATAAAAGCAAAAGTCAAATTTATCATAAACTTTCATTTCTGATTGTGTCTTCCTCTTTTTTTTACTCGGCCTTGATTAAATTTTACTTAGGTATTTTTATTTACAATGAACAGAGTGCATATATGTATGTATGACTCACCGGCACTGGTAATAACCGGCTTTACCGCATCGCTGTGCTGTGGTAACGAAAAATTTACCAACAACAACCTCTCATAATACAAATCTGATAGGAATTCGTCACGACGTCACCAAATCAATACCTGCACGGAGTATATAGACACAAAAATATAAATTTATGCTGGATATCAACAAATGAGTGTAAACGAATTTTAGAGTGAAGTCAATTTGTATTATTATTTAAATCGTATTTAAATCGTACAAACTTCTCAAAGTCGATTTCAACTTGATGATTTTATGGCGTACCCCTAGTAAAACTAACATTTATGTATTATTCATTTACTAGCCTATAAGCCCGTCTTAAAGACGGGCCACATTTCAAATTTTACACGAACATATCTAAAGTACCTACTGAGGCAGGTTAATTAAGCCAGGTACAAACCTAACTGTCGCAATGTACTAATCTCCATCGAAATTATAATTTCAGAGTAATCGAGCAGAAAATCTAATTCAAAGATGTTGTTACAATGTTAGGCTTGTTGTGGAATTTATTTAGGAATTTTGATTACATTGCTAAGAACTGATGAACGTAGCAAAAGTACATTGTGATCGTTCCAACTCAGTTTTTACCTTTTCTAAGGAAATTTTTTTACGTTGCTAAGGAATTTTTCTACATTGCTAAGGATATTTTTTACGTTGCTAAGGAATTATTTTACGTTGCTAAGGATTTTTTTACCTTGTCTACGGAAATTCTTTTTATGTTGCGAAGGATTTTTTTACGTTGCCAAGGATATTTTTTTTACGTTGATAAGGAATTATTTTACGTTGCTAAGGAAATTTTTTTACGTTGGCAAAGACATTTTTTTACGTTGCTAAGGATATTTTTTTACGTTGCTAAGGAACTATTTTACGTTGCTAAGGATTTTTTACGTTGCTAAGGAAATTTTTTTACGTTGTTAAGGAAATTTTTTTACGTTGCTAAGGAAATTTTTTTACATTGCTAAGGAAAGTTTTTTAGTTGCTAAGGAAATTTTTCTACGTTGCTAAGAAAATTTGTTTAGTTGCTAAGGAAATTTTTTTTACGTTGCTAAGGAATTAAAAAAAATCATAATCATAATCATAATCATAATTATACTCATAATCATAATCATAATCATAATCATAATTATAATCATAATCATAATCATTATGGTAATCATAATGGTAATCATAATCATAATCATAATTATAATCATAATCATAATCATAATGGTAATCATAATTATAATCATAATCATAATCATAATGGTAATCATAATCATAATCATAATTATAATCATAATCATAATCATAATCATAATCATAATCATAATTATAATCATAATCATTATGGTAATCATAATGGTAATCATAATCATAATCATAATTATAATCATAATCATAATCATAATCATAATGGTAATCATAATGGTATTCATAATCATAATCATAATTATAATCATAATTATAATCATAATCATAATCATAATCATAATGGTAATCATAATTATAATAATAATCATAATGGTAATCATAATCATAATCATAATCATAATCATAATCATAATTCGCATCTGTTCCCTGATTGGTGGAGCTGGAAAGTCAACAACCAATCAGAATGCAGGAATGTCACGGAAAATTTCACGGGACGGACTTTTCGAAATTATAATATAGATATATTATTTATTTATTAATCAAATACGTTCTTAATTAAGGTGATTAAATTTATTAAAATTTGCACCAACAAAAATGTGTAAATAAGTTAAACCTCAATAAACCAAATGTCATCGTATGTCGTTTGTAACCAAGGACTAGTCAAGCTTTGAGTAGCCCCACCAAAAACGTAGATCCGCTTCAAATTAGGCACCAGTGCTATTCCCGTCCGCGAAAATAGGATATCTCCTCCACCTGGGAGTCCCCACACTGGACAATACTGACCATCCCCGGTATCCAATCGGTACCAAAAAAGGCTACCTGTCTCCTTAAATCCTCCCACGATGTAGCCATTATATTCGTCATTCGATACGGCGGCAACGTCCAGGTAGTTATCTGGAAGGTCAAGAGGATGAATTTGACTATAATCTGGCCCAGGTTGGTACACCACGTGATCGTAGGGCGGGTTCACGAGTGCATTTCCCTTCCCGAAGAGGTAGGCTCGTTCCGTCTTCTTATCCCAAAATGTAACCGCTTGGCTAAATTGTGTCGGAAGGTCGGCCATCTGGCTCCAACCGTAATTGTCCATGCTGAACTTGACGACCCCGTTTTGGAATAAATTTCCAGACATGATAAACGCCGTGGATTGGTCGTAAGCGAAGGAGGCACTGTAATGGAAATAGAACGGGATCCTGGTAACTTGGGTGACCTGGTTGGTGTAGGAGTTAAACTTGAAGACATAGTGCGAATTTCCCCCCGGGTAAGCTCCCCCGAAGTAGAAGTAGTTTCCGAGACCGTCAGCCGTCACGGTGCCGAGGTATAGACCAATCGGGAGAAGGGCGACGAGTTGAATGGCATCGGTGGAAATGGTGTATTTTAAGATTTCGTTGGAATATACGGCCGGTCCAGTGAGGTACCAGCGGGCCCCGCCGAATATGTAGATGGAGTCGTCCCCATCATAGGAAACGACAGGGACTTGGGTGGGATAAGGGAGCTTGGCGAGGCAGGGTTTGGCGTACAATTGGGAACAATCGGCGGCGGAGACGGGGTGGTAAATAGTTGTGACGAGGGTGAACATTCCGAAGATTAGGAGCTTTTGAGCTGCATGACCCATTATAATTTTGTGGAAGGTGTCAGGGAATAGTGCAAAAGTTCTATTTATTAGGAATATGTGCAGTAACAAAGCTTGATACAATACTGGCTGGTGAGGGGAGGTCTGAATTGCCTTTATATATTATTGCCTCTGATTATCAGAGAATTAGTTGAATTAGTTGCGAGCCGAGCTTGTCAGACACTGCGCCTTTTGAACGTTGTAAAAAAATTCATAGAAACGCCGCCCATAATAATTCTTCGAAGGGGAAAATTAGTTTTCTGATTATGTAACAAGTATGTACATAACAAGCACGAGACGGAATATTTTCCTTAAAGGTTTTATCAATTATGTAAAACTAATTCAGAGAAGTTGTAAAATAAATAATTTTACATAAAATAAGCGCATTTTTATATTAGTGCATTCTGTAGTAAGCAAGGATTGTTTCGCATTTTATATTCACCCAACCACCTTTGTCGGAAATTTGAATCGCAAAAATGTGTTTATCCCGTATTTACGTCAATTTATTTAATCTTGGTTGTAAATCAATAAACCAAAAAGTGCCTTTTCAGAAAAAAAGATTCTTTATTGCATCCATTCCATTCCTGGTGTAAATCCTGTAACGACATGCATGCATTGATTTCTCGGTCATAATGCTACTACGTTTTGGGATGAACATTATACTGGTATGTAAAATTCTGCTACCAATACGGTAATATCGAGTTATTACATACTACACCGCATCACCGACTTATCAAGACCTACTATTTACATATTAAGGATACGGAGAAAATAATACCTGCCTGACTTTACTAGATTTCTAACAGTTTGTAAGAGTCGGTGGGTCATTCAGAAAAATTTTAAAATATTACTCTTTATCCTCACTCGGGCTAAATGAAGTCTTAACTAATTATTTTTGAAATCATAATCAAATGCATATCGGCACTTTATGTAAAAGTGCCAAAATAAAGCGGAAATGATACAGCAAACATGACAAATGCACTTAATTATTTGCATTAGAGCTTCATTGCATACAATTCGTCACACATGCATATTTACAAATTCAACTGAACACTTGCGTACCTCGTTACTCATTCCATTCAGTGACAAAGAATGAGGAGAGTGACCATTTGATTGTGGCTTATCTTATCAGTAGATATGTCCATAACCTCTTTTGATAGTGGCAAAATCGATACAAAATGTAATGTGTGATGCCTCCTTTTGCAGCAGGTTTTAAGCTCAATTCTCATCCTCTGGTTGAATCAGCAATAATATTTTATGCTTAACTTTGCGAAGTAATTACTTACTGTATTTTTTGAAGAAATACTTAATTTCCTATAGAATTAATTGATTGTTTAATATTAAGTTCCCAACTACATAAATAATTAATTGGCCGCTTATTTACATAATATTAAGTAAGTTCTGCAAATACTTACATAATTAAAATAAAATTTTATAAATACACACCAAGCGCTACCTGAAACTTGAAGCTTGACATAATTAATTAATTATTGAATATATTAGTAAACTAATTAATTAATCAATCTAACATTGCGAAAAATTAAGTACTTATTTCAAAGCATATGTCGTCCATTCAAATCGTCCCGGACGATGTGGGCGTCGCTGCAGCGCAAATAATAAGGTAATTGTGAATTGATAATTAATAAATATTCGGGGTATTCACTACTTCGCATTACAAAACATATTTTTTTTATTGCTAATTTGCTAATTAAATGTTAGACTTCGAGAAATGTAGGTTAACAAATGAATTCTTAATCCAATTTTTTTTACGAACTAGCGACCTTCATTTTTTTCTAACGTTTCCAAAAATGCAAACTCTTACTGAATATCCCCACTATAATTAATAATTAACATTACAATTCATTTCTCATAATTAGCGATGCGGTTGGGAATTTTTCCCTGCACAATCGCCTAAATTCGTCAGATCTGGAAAAATTAGCGCTCGAAGGAGCCCAAGAAATTTCGGGTGGACTCCGTGACGTTGCTCGGGTCGTGGAAGGGCTCAACGTGCCCTTAACCATTTTACTCTACGTCGTTTCGATAGCTCTCGCTGTGTGGGTGGTGTTGACCCTGGTGGAGAAAACGATTCTAGTAGTGACCTATTTCGCGGGGAATAAGAGGCGTGGCCGAGGATGGGGGAGGGGCCCGTGTGGATCGTGCTGTTCAAAGATGAAGAGATGGTGTATTGTGAGTTTTTTTTTCTTAAATTGGGTAATTAGGGGACATGTTTGGTGTAAAATAGAGGCAGCAAAGTCTGTGAGGTTATCTGGCAGATTAACATATTAGTTGACTTTTTAGAAAACCTTTTAGAAAATGTGAGGATTTGGTCCCAAGTTTTTGAATGAACAGCGTGGCAAATAGTTATGTTTTTCAGCGTGTACTTCGCTGCTAAAAATAATATCGTCATTTTGTAAAGTAGATAAATAAATGCACTATGAATTCTAAATTAAGTAAACCATACTAAATTCAGAGCAAACTTTACTCTTTATCAAGTTAATCTTACACTGCGTTTAGTTTAGTTTGCTTAATTTAGAATTCAGAGTGCATTGACTTTTCAAAAGCGTAACATTAAACACTTTTAAGAGTGTAATATTGGGAGAGGGGCGTTACTGCATTTCCTGTGCAGAAATTGGCTTGTCATAAATTTGTTGCATGATTTGTTTCTCGGGAAACTTAGGTGTAGATGTTTACCTACATATTTACATCCTGATCAATTAACAAACATAATAACAAGTCAGGATTTGCATGATGTGTCATGATTATTTTTCCCGTTTTTCTTCGTAATGACCAAATACTTTTTTATCATTCAAATCTATCCATCATTTCAGATTGAATTAGAAATTAATTAATTTAGATTTTGCTTCGTTAGCTATGCATAAATTTGAATTTGTACAAACTTTTGAAATATATACGTTGTAAATTTTAAATTTTGCAGGGAAGAAATCCCACCAGATCGGTACGAATAAGGCCGGAAGTGAAGAATATGGACTACACATTGGTAAATAAATATGCACAGAATTGATGACGCTCATGCAAACATTAATCAGACTTGGGTGTAATCAATCATTTATATCTTAGCATCCTTTGAAAGATGACGAACACCTAAATTCAAAAATACCGCCACCCAACGAACATGAAATTTCGCTGGTATAGTAATCTACTGTTTTTGGTAAGTAGGTACATTATTTGTAACACCATTTTTTATCCATTTAAATGGAGGAATTTATTTTTATAATTTATTCACAGAAGTCTGTAACGGCCATAGTTAGAAATTATTGAAGTGGACGACCATACATAATCTCACAGGAAATTTAAAACTACTTACATACATAATTACCTGGATATTTACACAATTAATTATGAATGTACCGAAGACCTGAAAATTATTAATTATGCAATACCCGGATTAAAATAATCCTCATTGAATTATTAATCCAATAATTCATTTTTTGAATATGTACATAAATTCATCAAGTTTTAATTTGGAGGAGACAATTTGCAGATATGTAATTTATCTATTAAGGATTAACTTCTGATAAATTTTTGTAATTTTGTACCGAGAAAAAAAAAACAAATTTGTTAAACCAAGAAGAAGTAAGTTATGTAATCTATGTACATATTTTCTTAATTAGAAATGTTTCTTTTTTACTTCGTAATAAATTGTATTTTATTATTAAATTGATGCAATATTTAGATAATTTTTTCAATGATGACATACTCCATACATCTATGACACTGTCATTGTGAATACGCATGTAAATATCTACGTACATGTTTACACACAGACATACATAGATATTAATACACACAGTACACACATAAATAAATATATTTTTGAATGTTTTTTCCATAGGATTAATTGTGATTTTCTACTGATTAATAAATATTGCACGCAATTCACATGTTTTTTGTACAAAATAAATAACCATAATTTTCAATACTGGTCGGATATACTCCAGGCGTCAACGATACCACAAAATGCAGTACCATTTCAAGTGTATAGAGCGTGTGTACATATGTATGCATGTAGATTAATAAGCATGGAAATACATTTCCTATTCCGCAACAAAAAATGAAGCACAGAGCATTTATGTACGTGATTTGGCATACGCAGTAGACCCGTTTCATAGTAAGGTACCGTACATTAGGTACGTGCCAAATTGCTGAAATTTTGGTCTTAAGAATTTTTTTTTGTGCTGAACATTAAAGCTGGACAGCTTAAATGCATAACAATTTATATAGAAAGGTCGCACGGTTGTCATGCTTTATGCATGGTCAAAAAAGTTATTGTGGAGCGGTATGTACAGCGATTCATAGGTAAATCTAACGTAACAAAGGTGCTACAATTTCCAGGTAAAAAGACTAATATGCAATATGTATGTACATATGTACATACATATGGCAAGCTCATGCGGCCAAATTTGCAAAACAGGTGAGATTGCAATTTAGTTACTTGGTGGCCGCATCAAAAGCTGCATACATACATACAAGTACGACGGCTTCTGATTCATTTATTTTTTATGTTGAAGTTTGTGTAGATACATAAATAAACCGCATACAAAATGGGTCTCAAACTGAAATTCAACCTGCTAAACCTAGCCAATTTCACGGTTCAGCTAAAATTTCTGGTTACCGTAAGTATACATACTGCATTACATGCTAAATAAATTTGATTAACAATTCAGACGACAAAGGCGTTTGTGTAAAATTTACCGGTTGAAATTAATTTAGAGTTTGTGTACAAATACGCTTTTAGAAATCTGATGTGTATTGATTTTTCAGTGTTAAAGTTACTACCGCTTCGTTCTACCTGTCAATAAAAATTTCCTATCGATATGGAAAAACTTTAATACCGAGCTACATATTACTAAATGGTTTACTTACTTATCAATACCATTTTGGTCGAGTCATAAATATATGAATACTGCTTTGTATTATGTTGAAACTGGATTTTTAAGAGCGTAAAATTGTCGAATTTTAAATCTTCGTCGGGTTGGATTAACTATTTTTTTAATTTTAGGTTATCGAAGCAGTGATCGTGACGACAGGGGCGTTCGCATTGGAGGACGGATTTCTCTCTTACTTCATTGTGAACTGCTTGGCATTTTCAGTAACGGGATTGCTGTTTATCGCCAGTGCGTTCGACCTGCTTAAAACTCAGGAGGATATGCGACAATTTGTGAGTCGTATTTACATTTTTACACACTTCGAAAAAAAGTGTAAGTTATTACGGAGTACATATATATATAAGATTTACATATTCATGTATGTGCATATGCAAATATAAAAATACTGCAAATTTTATGCAATTTTTGACATTATCATGTCAAACTTTATTTTTCATTTACATTTTATTATTTTATTTAACTCATTTAATTTCTAAGGATTTATAAAATTACAAAATTTCTTTCCATGGTTGCATTTGCGTCAATAGCGTTGGGTTGTAAATCTGTTAGCGAATGGTCATACATATAAATGTGTTTCGTCGTGTATTAAGCTAGTAACTAGATAGATTAGTCTAAATTTCATTGAAAAACGCATAGGTGTCGGATATTATCTATTTATATGCAAATATGTACATAACTCTGTTTATGATGTGCATATTTCCTGGTTGACGTTCTGACCATATGTACCTACATATTACGCCGTTATTCGATATTTAATGGATAATCCTGATTTATAAGCAGGATAAAATAGATAAAATAATCAGCATCGCTTCCGGTTCCAGTATACATAGCAAGAATTATGATAATCTTATATCCAATTCGTGTTCTGCGATGATTTTGATGATTTAGATACTAAATCTTTTGCCAGCATAACAGGAATTTATCAATAATTTATTAATATTTGACAATTTGTGATAATTTTAGGATGCCAGATTCCACAAAGCTGTCGCGGTTCTTCTCATCTTTTCTGGATTTATTGGTATCATATTCCCGAGCTACCGTTGGGGAGAAAATTTTCGAATTTGTGCATATGTACGTACATAAGCTGTAATCACAGTTAATGATGCCCCTAACTAAGACAATTAAAGCCTAAAGGAGGGCTCAATTATTTAAAATTATCACATATATTTTATCTAATCAATACTGACTATGCGATGACGCCAGCGGTCTCGCTCCAATTTTGATGAAACCTCGATCATTATGTAGCCGTAGGTAAATAATTGGACACATGTTTCGGGATTTTTCATAATGCTCAGTTTAAACAAAGTTAGGATGGTATGAGTGGCCGAAAATTCTCATTTTTCTCCCTCAAAAACAAAAACAGAAAAACTTCACGAGAAAAATGCGAATTTTCGGCCACTTATACCATCCTAACTTTGTTTAAACTGAGCATTATGAAAAATCCCGAAACATGTGTCCAATTATTTACCTAAGGCTACCTAATTATCGAAGTTTCATCAAAATCGGAGCGAGACCGCTGGCGTCATCGCATAGTGAGTCACAATGGTTGGCGAAATTTGTTAAATTTTTCAATTCATAAATAATTACAGTCGTAAAAATAATGTTCCCCTTATGAAACATATGAACCTCCAGTCTATTAAGAAAGCTATACTAAATCCAGAAATTTTATGTCTTTATCTAGTTAACGTTACTCTTGATCTGGTTTAGTTTACTTTATATATAATCCAAGGTGCAATTACTGTTCAAAGGGGTAACATTATTTTGAAGACTTTACATACATATGTGCAGATAATTTTTTAGGGCGCTTACACGTTTGATCTTGAAGAATGTATAAATTTACGTTTTTTTCTTAAAACACCGTTTCCGTTTTAATTGTCTTTCAGATTCTCGGGTTCGTTTTGGCAGCCCCGTTAAACTTTTTGATTAGCTGGCAATCCGCTGGGTATCATAGCACGGAACAGCTTCGACGGTCTGGCACTAATTTCTACTGCTACTGCGGATGTAGAGACGATCCAGGAGATCACGATTTGGATGAAGTCCTTACTCCGGCTCCGCCAAGGTATTCCGAATCTGGGTTTCCGAGCCGGGGAAAATATAACGACAGTGGCCCGATCGTCCCTCTGCCAGCGTCCCATTCGGTGGGGGCGAACCAATTCGTGTGAAAAAACGCGGATCAGGAATCTGTACTACGGAAAATGTGTGATTGAATTTGTGATGTGATTGTTATTTATAAATCCAGTATTAAACTCAACGCTACATAAATTAGACTGTTTGCAAATATGTAGTATTTACCAAGTAACAAAGTTATTATTTAAACTTGAGTGTGCTTACACTCCAAATAATTTGGAGACACATCCTCACCCGCGGTATGTACTATCTTTTAGCTATTTTTTGGTAATGAATCATTACTAATGATTAAGCCACTAATTGGTGACAAAACGTCTCAGTAATCATCGCCCAAAAATAGAGCTCTATAAATAGTACCTCCTAAGGTGATGATTTGTCTAGGAATTATTTAGAGTGTTCATTTTTGAACGATTTTTTCGTTGTGGTTCCTCTCAACGAAAAATACTTAAAGTTATTTTTTATTTCTAACCGTATTTACATACATTCATATGTAAGTAGTTCCACGTGCGTGAACAAATGTCGGGACATTGTGTAAGAGAAAATATTTATATACGAATTTATGTATGTTTGAATATCCAAACTACGAACTTAGGTACCTATGTATGTATTTACATGCATAATATTGTGTTACATTGTATTGTATACGTACATAAACCTAATACATAAATATCTAAAGGTTAATTGAAGCTACATAAATAAGCACGAATTATTAATGATGATGGCCTCTGGCCATATCATATTTCCATAAATTGACTGATTGATTGATTGAGAATAAAAAGAAATTTTATTCAATAACTCAAAATGATATTCATATCTGCCCAGAAAGTAGGTGATTGGTTGGGACAAGAAGAAAACCTCATTCTAAAACTTGCTGGCCATGTCTGTCATTCTGTCTGAGACAGTTCTGAAGAAAATGGTTTATTTATTCAATCTAACTTGTATATTTTAACAGTTTTTATAGCAAGTTAAAGCAGAAGATGGTTGATTGGCTGCACTCTTAAAAATAACGTAACCCTTTTGAAATGTTAATGCATTTTGAATTCAAAATTAAGTAAAATCTTTATCAAATTAACACTGCTATGGATTTAATACAGTTTACCTAATATAGAATTGAGAGTGCATTCATTTTTAAAAAAATTAGCATTATTTTTAAGAGTGTAAAATTATCAACGTATTTGTATTTAGGTGCGCCATTTTGCACAAAGGGATGAAACCTAATACATACATATGTGCTCAGCATGATTTCTGCTCTAATCCGGCTCGGGCAACTTGAACCTGTATACCATATTTTTAACTCAGGCAAGAAAATGTCAATCATATTAGCTTAAAGTTATATAGTTACTAATACGGTTAATATAAAATCAATCGGGCTACTTTTTTGGACTTACATACATACATATTTATATCCTGCCACTAGTTTAATTCACCGATCGATAGTATATACCCAGCCCAAACTCTTTGAATCGTCTGCATTCCTGATTTTACGTCTTATGGATTCAAAAAGGGGGAGAACAAACAAGCTCCGAGTGCCATTAAGGTGTTGCTATGGTAACTCGGATCGAATTAATTAAGCACGAAGACTATACATAAATATGTACTGGAATTAATCATATTTTTCTCTTAATGTAATACAAGTGGTATTAAATAGATAATATTTCCAGCGTATATTTAAATTGTTGCCCTTTTATGGAACTGCGTAATTATTAGTGTTTGAAAGTGGGTTAACCGGAAATTTGAAATCTGATTAAATTATTTTACAGGGATTAATTAATTTCCGCACAAATCCCGATAAATCCAGCATATCTAGAAATTTTATGTTTCTGGATTAATAGGCGATTTGCATAGTTACGTTTTTGAAATTTCCGTAACTTTTCCGTAACGTTCGCTTTTCCTTCAATTTAGTCAAAATTTACGAAGCTCATCTTGAAATCATTCTTGGGAGTCCTCTATACATTGTACGTACTGTCTCTGTAAATTATGACTAAGTTCACGAGATAGGGAAAGTTACGGAAAAGTTACGGAAATTTCAAAAACGTAACTACGCAAACTGCCTAATATATATATTTCGGAATACTTGCGTAAATCTATTTATCTCATATAATTCTTTACGCGTCGGGTAGTAAATATTTCATTTAGAAAGAGTAAAAAACATATACGAATGTATATATCGTTTTACAAAACTTGAATACGAGCTAAAATTAAGATATGGTGCAAACAAAAGTTTCAATTTTCCTCTGTAATTTATGACAAACAAATTTTTGCAAAGGTCAACTGCAACTTGCACTGCAACCACAACCTGCAATCATACTTGCAAGAACCAAGTACTCAATACAAAAATTATACTAATCTTCGCCAATTCAACTACTTATGGCTGAACAATTAGGCACATACATACATACACTATCTCACAAAATTGTTGATGCAATCAATATGTACCCTCGTTTACCTCAGGACAGGACAGTGAACGATACAGATCCAAAATACGATATGTAATTGACAAATTGACAATTAAGACCTGTTGTGGTCGATTCGAGTTTGAAGAAATGTTACGCAAGTCAAAGGTCACAATTTTTTTATCACCGTACCCCAAAATCACTCTTAGGATAAGGATTAGAAAATGTTTTCTTAGTATTTTTATTTACATGAAGTTGGAACTTCAAAAACCTTCATGCATGGGACATGAAAATGTGCAATTTTTTTTACAGACACAGCAATTTCGTGAAATTTGGCAAACTAAGTAATTGCAATGTTAAAACCTCAAAACTGCACTACTAAATATTCATTGCCCGAGATTAGTTATGTCAACTAAAAACACAAAGAAAAAAATATAGGGAAGATTAACTGATTTTGGGCTTCCTTGGCAAAAATATTTTGGTACACACTGTATTTCATTTCTCCTAAATCGAATTGCTGCTTAACCACAACATTTGGAAGTTGTCTCTCTGGAACATTTTAGATTTCTATCTTTATCTCATTCTCATCGAGATAAACGGGATTGAAATTGCATCTACTTTCAATTTAGGGAAATATAATAAGTAGCTGATTGATATAAACAACTTAAAACAAATTTCTTATTTTTAGCAACGTGAGTTTGCACGGGCAAGCAAACGGGGAAATACATATGTAGTTTAAGTGGGCAGTGCCGAGATAGCATCTATTTAGGATAAATGTGTTCAATATTATACGCTGGAAATATTTACAAGGTTAAAGACAATTTCCGAGCAGTACGTCACTTGCAGTTACAAAAATCCTTGAAATGTTAACATGAAATGCAGTTCTGCGGGTAAATATTTACCAGAATACACATCAATTAAGTATACCCTGATTAACTTTTCGGGAAAATCAACGTTTCCAATTTAACAAAGTTATCATGAGCTTTAAAATCATAATGAAAGACAAACTCAAAACTGGACGAATCTCACTTATCCAACTTCTCTTCGTCACGTATTATCCGTTCTGTTATAAACCATGCGTCGAAATAGTGACGGATAAGAAAAGTGGCTTCGTCTTCGTTCGAAAAACTAAATACAAATTTGAAAAAGTATTTTCCCGCGTTCCCATCTTGTGTTTGCTAGCGACTGGGTTTTTCTGCGGAGTTGCGCTTACGATTGTTGTCATAGAGAGCAAGTGTTTTACTGAAATTGTGCTGAATCCCAAAGTTTGGACGTGGAGTGTCGGGCTACTTAGCGCACTATGCGGCACGATCGGGTACAAAGTTTGGATTGCGGACGGGATGGATGTGACTATTAAGATGGCGAATGAAATGATTACGATCGAACAGAAATTGCAGGATGGTACGGTACATATGTACATATTTAATGTCGAAGATTTACGAAATTTTGTTGAAAAATCGTGAATTTCTTCTGGCAAATTTTTCCAGCAATTAGGATTAGTTCCCAAAATTATTTTGCAAACTCATACTGCCAATAACAAGAAAGAAACCAAATTAAAATATGCGTTTTTAGTCGACTGGCGAGATTTTGAGAATATTTTCGACTCATTTCACCACTATTTTTTTTATCTTCGCAAGTTTGCTAAATGAGTTTCGTATTTTTAGTAGACTTGAGATTGGCAAGATTTGCGAAGTTTTGATCTTCGCAAATGCGGTCCAAATGAGTTGCGATGAACAACATGTTTGGGTGGGCGGACCTCACGTTGGTTAAAAATTATTGAAAATACAGAAGGGTTTGGCACTTACATGGATACGAATTTGACCTTGAATAACCCCGGAACGGTTTGTCGCACCGGGTCAAAATTTTGAACAGACGAGCATGGTATCCTCAGATAGTTGTGTGCAAAATTTCAACTCTCTACTTTCAAAAATGCCTCTTCTACAGCCCCCAGAACTTTAAACACTCATTTTTATTCTTTTCAAACTCGGTCGAAAAAATTTTATGTCCACAGAAAAATTGTATTTTCAAGTATCCGAACCCAAATAAGGCTATTTGACTTACATCGGCGGATTATACAGGTATTTCACTATTCGAAATGATTTTTATCCCCAATCTAGCTTGAAGGTCCTTTGCATTATCTTGGGTGAACTTTGCCTTCTGGGAAGACGTTGCGTGATCATGAAAAATCACCATATTTATTTTTTTACCGCACAATTTAGGAAAATTTTGTACTAAAAGCGGTTTAAATGCACCGTCCACATAATACTTTGCAGATAACTTCATTTTTCGGGGGACTTTGATAAGTGGGAGGACACCACGACCCGACATTGCACCAACAACCATAAACTGTTCAAAAAAGTTCTCCTCACTGAAAAGCACCAAATTGCTTGAATTTTTTTCGGCATTTGTCGTGTAGTAAGCTCTTCGAACCCAATTAGTAACTTGTAGGGAAAATAGTTCTTCGTCAAATGTCACTAAAAACGCACTCTCGTTCCTCAACAGTAAATGTGAATAAATTTTTTTGCAAACACGGGTAAGATTTTTGTTGGAAAAAGTTGAAATGGCTGTCTTAACGTCTAAGGGCTGTGGGGGAGGCATTTTTGAAAGTAGAGAGTTGAAATTTTGCACACAACTATCTGAGGATACCATGCTCGTCTGTTCAAAATGTTGACCCTATACGACAAACCGTTCCGGGGTTATTCAAGGTCAAATTCGTATCCACGTACGTGCCAAACCCTGTATTATCTATTATCGCTTTGACTTTGTGTATTATTTATTGCAGAATTACCAAATTGTCAAAAACCGGGAAAACCTTCATCAACCCAATTGCAATTGTTCCACTGGCTTACCATTATCTTTTACTTCGCCCCACCCATCCTGGTCGTCGCTGTCATGAATGTTGGCTCTGAACCGTTCCTATTCTTACTAAAATACTCCCTACAATTCGACACATTCTTCTCTTTATTCACCCACCTTTGGCTACCCGGGTATTTCAAGTTATTCCAACTTCTTTCAATACCCTTCATTTTGTGGCCAATCTACAACTTCATCGTTTAAGAAGTGATTCGAACTGGATTTATCTTCTTTTCCGCGGCGATTAACGTCGGCGGAAAAACTTTATCAATTTTACAGTCACTACAAAAACAAATAGACAACGGGATATTTTTGCACAAGAAATATTTCCTGTATTATTCCCGACTTCGAATTATTTCGCAGAGTTTGGATCACGCAATAAAGATAACAATGCTACTGCTCATCACATTGTTGGGAATGGTTACGGGTTTAACGACTTTTGTTGCGATTCGGTTTCATGAAAAGTATTCGATGGGCATGGTCGTGCTCGATGGATTGAGCGGGATTGCGTTTCTGCTCTTTTTGGACGTGATTTTGAGAACGTTTGGACGATGTGATGAGATGTGTAAACACTTTTTGCGATGTTGCAAAAGTGTGGAATTGCTATGTGGGATGAGTCGGGAGGAGAAGAAGTTGTATTTAAAAGAGGTGGATAGTTTGCCACGGTTGATTTTGCCAGTGGGCGTGGGACAGTTTAGGTTAACGAGGTTAACGAAAGAAAGTAAGGCGAGGATATGGTCCTTTATTGTTGAAAGAATTGTAAATGTACTAGTCGCATTTCGATGAATGTGTTAGAATTAGTATTTAATAAAATTTAGCTTGTTCTTTAAAACTACCAAACTGTGGTAACCCAAGTTATTTTTGGTACTTTTCATTAATTATGCTTTATATTGTACATAATTATCGTTACTTGTGGAATATTCAGTAAAGTGGACATGATAAATTAATTTGTGTAACAATTCCCATATTTAGTAAAGAAATACACAGCATTCAAAACGGACTTGCCCATCATACAATTAGTCTTATTAACATTAATGTATTTTTAGGAATTTCTTAAAATGGCGCAAAACAGAGGTATTAATTAATGTTGCTACTAATTTAAATAAAATAATACAAATAACAATTTAAATCGTTAGTTCGCACAAAGTTCTGGCCGCTTCATAGATACACGGGATCGCATACCAAGTACTCCTGAAGTACATTGCTAAGCACAGTTCATGTTGTGGAGCTTGAAATACTTGCAGATCTTGGGCAAGATTTGTTCTGTTTGGGTACCAATAATAGTTAGGACGGGCCTGGTCCCCAATCCCGACCAATCCAGCGTTAACCCAAGGACCTAAATGTTACAGGTTTATGTACAGGGTGGTTTAAATATCAGGTGACAATAGAAAATTTTTTAATGATAACAATTCGTAAATTTCCATTGGTTACGGATTTGGGATTGAGATTTTTATTAATTTTTATCAAAACTTATGGAACACTGATGACAAAATTCTTAAAATACTAATTTCAGAGGCAAAATTTCGGTAACTAATGGAGATTTACGAATTTTTCCCATTGAAAAATTTTCCATTGTAACCTGACATTTAGACCACTCTGTATGTACACAAGTGAAGCCACATAAAGCTTAAGTTTGTCTTGAAATTTTGAAAAAAATATGGGTCATAAAAAACCGAACAGGTTTTCAGAAAACATGTCAATTTTTTTAATAGCTACATGTGTACACTTTATTTACATACCATATGTGTCAACCCAAGGTACTATCTCTAGAATATAGTATACTTACCCACATACCAAGCTGAACTGGGTATTAAATCATACAATGCAGCCCTTTCAGGCACCGTTAATGGCATTGCCATCCTCATATTTGCAGAAATGCAAAGGTCCTTCGCTGCATGAAAAGTGGTCCTGTTTTGCTACGAAGCACAATATAAAATCGTAAATATTTAATTAAACAGAAAGAGTTCCGAAAGATCTTACCGTGCCTAAAAAGTACAGCTTGTTTTCCCATTGCCCCAGGTACACGAGATCGGATTGCTTTGCTTCAGGGATACGTTGTACGTAATGGTCTAGTGCAAAAAATAAAACTTAATTAATTTAAAATATTTAAATGAACTGGAAACACTATGGTCTGATCATTGAAAGAAGTGGTTAATTATTACGAAGTTTAGAACGAGCCGCTTCTTTTAATACATAGTTCGACCATAACACAGAAAGCCAATCGATTAATTACATCGGATGAAATACGATGAATTAAAAAAAACTAAATAATAATGAAATCAACCTTCTGACTTCATTAGACCCTGGCAGATACCAAGCAGATACATGATAAATATAATTTTCACAAGTTGGGGAAACATCATTTTAATTGAGTATGCAAATTTTTTGTGAAGGTAACAATGAATTAGCAAGAATGAATTTTGCGTAGACTAGTTCCTCAACTTAAATACTTTTCTATTGACAGATATTGGTCAATTTCATCGAAATGTGTTCGATGTGACCTACAAGCCTTCCAATTTTGATTGACGGGTTGGCGAAAATTCAACGAAAATTTTCATTATCGATGAGTGGTGTTTTTTCGCACGGAATGTTTGTTTTGCGCACGGGGCGAAGAACTTATTTCGCAGATTGGAAAGTGTAACTTCATCTCCTCAATCTCGGATTTTTTTTTGTCACCAGGATATTTTAAATTAGTGAATCAATTTATGTATTACGACGGTCAACTTGATTATCCACATTACACCAAGGTACTCCCACATGAATTAGAACTCATTGCACAGTTGTACAGGAACCTGAATTTTTTTAGGAGATATTTACGTAGTTGCTGGGAATTTGGTAAGCATATTTTATTACGATTAATTCGCAATTTGGCCAAAGGTTGGCATATTTATTTCCATCTCGGAAATACTGGATCCGCAAAGTGGTAAAAGAAATGTAAGTAAGTTTACTACCGCTGATGGTAATACCTAATGTTACCACAGCCTCAGTAATACGCGATATTAAGATTTTCTAGACCGTGGTTGTATGTATGTAGCATCCCTTGAGAAACCAACGACTAGAGGTGTGAGAGGGTATGGATTTATCCTGCTGGATCCATACCCTGCCCGTACCTGCCCTGTATGGGTAGACAAGTGTAATGCAGGGTAGGGTATTGATAAGCTTGAGAAATCTAGGGTAGGGTAAGGTAGGGTATTTCCATACCGTACCGTACCGTCGGGTTTTCATTTTTCCCCCGTCGTTTACCAGTCTTCGACCCTATATATCCGAGGAAACCTAGGGTAAGGCGGGGTGTTTATAACTGGAGGAAACCTATGGTCGGGTATGGTTTCATATCCTCGCACTCCTCTAACAACGACCTTCAAGTGGTTTTAAAATCCGAATCAGACACGTTGAAATACACCCTCGAGATACCCACCTTGTCGTTCTACATTGATTCCAAGAACTGGTTGGCAATTACCAATAAAACAGATTAGGTCTCCTGACATTATCAGAATCTCAATTAATTGGCTTCGTTCGACAGTAAATGATTACAAAGTGTCAATATATGTATGTATGTATGTAGATGCATAAGTTTGTTCCTGATTGACAAGTAAGCTTTGTTCTGAATGCACTTGTCGAATTATTGCAATTGAGAATGGGATTCTGGGTAGCTTAAAAATAACACTCGCTGTCATATTCCCACCTTGAACGTATTGACGTCAATGGTTCAGTATAAATAGTGGGCGCAGTGATATTTCGGGTCCAGTTTCAACGTAAATTTCATTTCGATTCCATATTCGTCAACACTCTTCGATATGACCAGTATACAATTTTTGAGTAAACTGGTTGCCGTGTGCGCAATCCTTTCATTTTTTCCCGCGTCGTTCGCCATTAAGATAGATGAAGTTCCTTCAGGTAAGACATTTTCAAATCAGTGGAGTACAAAGTACGCTGCTATGGACCTGGTATGAAATAATTAGTATCCAGAGTGCACATGTACATATAAATATGACTCTGTCTACATGGTAATAAGAGTAATTAATCACTCAGAAACAAATTATTACCTATTCGGTAAAAAATTACTACCGGTATGAAGTACCGTAAATCCTCTAACTATTAAGATATCAAAATTATAGCCGGGTCTCTAAATATAGCTGGGTCCCTAATTATCGGGTATCTAAGTATGGCCTGTATTTTTCGATGTATCCCCGTTCATACCAGATCCTAGAAAATACTTAACATTCGGTTGATCAACAAATAGGGTCAAAATTTACAGAATTATGTGTTAATTTGTTAAAAAGAATGCATATTATCATGAAAACAAATTTTTAAAAACTGCAAAACCTCGTTCAACCAAGTAGAATTAAAGCGAATATTTCACTGATGCAATATCTTGCTAAATAATATAACTTAAATCAAGTCATCATTAATTATTCGCGATTTTATAATGTCTCAAATTAAGGCGGGACAAATTTGAGCCGGGTCTCTAATTGTAGCTATGTCTGTGACACCCAGTTTTGGATTTTAGCCCCGGCTATAAATAGAGTAGTTACGGTATATATGTGTACATGTATTTGACTACCAGATTTTTTACAATGTACTGTATTTATGTACACTACGGGACAAAAAGGAATAGATTGGATGCATGAACTGATTGTGTCTTCGAAATCTCCGAAACTGCGTGACCGAATCGATTAATTCTTTTTGCATGTTATGCACAATTTAATAGGCTACTTAAACAGCCAACTTAAATACGAAGGGTCTAAAACCTGCGCTTTGATTATGCGCATAATTAAAAAAAGTAAAATTTCAGACGGACAGAATTGAGTAGATTTTTAAAACATTCCAGCAGGACTTGACCAGGTAAGATGTTTTTGTTTCAAAATCGACATTTTCATGTCTGGATAAGTCATTTACATAATATTCATCAATTAATTAGGATGTCGAAGGTCAGGACCGAGACCACAATCCAGCAAAGGGCGCTCATTATCCAAGCATGGGAGGGAGATGAAAATGGGTCCAAAACTCCCAAGGAAATATCAGATTTTTTCAAACTCAATTATAAAACTGTTTGGAGGATCATTGACCGCTACAGAAAAACCAAAACAATTTGCAATACACCTGGACGAGGACGAAAATCAATTTTCAACACCCGAGAGAAGCGCTCAATTCTCAAAACCGTTAAGGTGAATCCTAGAGCCAGCGCGGTGGATATTGCAAATTCCGCTGAAATTGATCTTGGCAAGAAGGCAAGTCCTAAAACCATCCGGAGAATATTAAATGAAGATGGATTGAAAAACTTTCGGGCAAAGAAGAAGCCCTTCATTTCCAAGAGGAACATCAAGAAGCGGATGGACTTCGCAAAGGAACACATCCACAAGGATCAATCGTTCTGGAACAAAGTTTTGTGGTCCGACGAGAGCAAATTTAATGTCTTTGGGTCTGATGGTAGGATTAGAGTATGGAGGAAGACAAATGAAGCCCTGAAAATGAAGAATTTAAACCCAACCGTAAAGCACGGGGGCGGCAGCGTCATGGTGTGGGGTTGTTTCAGCTCTGCAGGTCCGGGGAATATGGAGTTTGTTGAAACTACAATGAACCAGCATATTTACCAGGATATATTGAATGGGAATGTCAAAAGTTCGGCAGCAAAACTTGCCTTAGGACGACGATACATCTTCCAGCAAGATAACGATCCTAAGCATACTGCGAAATCGACGTGGGCGTTCTTCAAAAAAACAAGATGACTGTATTGGATTGGCCTCCTCAGAGTCCTGATCTCAACCCAATTGAACACTTATGGGATCACATTGAAAGGGAGATCCGAAAGACGCCGATTCCCAACAAAACGGAACTCCAAAAGCGGATAATCGAGGCGTGGAATGCTACATCTCCGGAAGTCACTGGACATCTTGTAGACTCCATGAACAGACGATGCACTGCCGTGCTTGAAGCCAAAGGAGGCCCTACTAGATATTAAATGTCGAAATATTTGAAATTGATTTTTTTATTTTAAATAATAAATCAAAAACTGAAAAATCTACTCAATTTTGTCCAAGCGGTTTCATACATACGACGGAAATATGTAATTCTTGTTATTCATCTTAGTTTCAAATCTGTGATAAATGCAGAAATTTTAGAGGATTAAATGCTGCATAATGTGCAAAAAAAATTAATCGATTCGGCCACGCAGTTTCGGAGATTTCGAAGAAACAATCAGTTCATGCATCCAATCTATTCCTTTTTGTCCCGTAGTGTACATACTTACATCTTTTGATTTGCACATACATATTGCAGTTATTGGACCTGAACCTGGGACACACAAACAAGCGAATCTTCTACTAATTGGGTCGTTTGAAGGGACATTCTTTTTCTATGGAAATACAAGTCAAACCAGAAACTGGTACTTTGCATCCAGCGAATGTCGGGCGGCTGGACTATCTCTGGCCACCTTCTGTTCCTATAATGAGTTTGAATTTATAAGGTCCAGGTTACTAGAACTTAATGTTCACGGTAAGGAGGATATTAGAGTAGAAATACATATGTAAGAGTGTACACTCTAAATAGATAATTTTGAGACAAATCGGCACTCGCGTGGGTATTGTGTTTTATCAAATACCCTGAGGGACATTGTTCCCACACCTCCCCGGCCATTGGTTGTAGTCATGGTGCGGAAAGAGGTATTTACTGGTTGTAATAAAACTCAGACGTCAGAATTGTCGGTTGTAATAAGACCTCAGAATTTAACATTGCCTTATTTACAGAAATGTCCACATTTTCGACTTATGTATAAGTAAAAATCATTATTTTTAATTCTTTGAATTATTTTGCAGATTTATGTATCTGTAAAATAGAATTATTCAAATTGCCATAAACTTTATTGCATCACCACCTTGATGAAGAAATTTGAAGGCGTTGACAAACATGCACCAATGAGATTTGCAGGGATTTTTTGTTTACGCAAATCGTTACAACCATCTTCTAAATTAGTAAATAATTTTGTTGCACCCATACATATTTCACGAGTTATCTTTATTATCTTCTCAAATTAAAACGGTGGTTCTTTTATGTTTGTAGTTGCCTGGACCGGAGGAATACTGAAAGGTGGAGAGAGTAGTCTCAGCGATCGCACAATATTTAAATGGAATGACGAGAATAATTCTCCAATTGAGGACGAAATTCAAATTGTTTATTCTTCAGCAGAAGCGACAACATTGGGTCTAGCGTATAACAGCGATAGTTACCTCTGGGTGCAGAATGGTATCTCGTTCGATTCTGACTATATTTGTCAAACGTAAAATTGAATTTGTCATGTGCATGGATATAACTTGGTAGACAAATTGAAAATAAATTACTGAAAATCAGAAACCTTAAATTGGTTCATATTTATGTTCCCAACTACCTGTGTACAAAAGTACGTATTTACTCACAATGCGATGGTGTGAAATGTAACCCTGATGAACTTTTACATTTTTATGTGGTCCAGATCAATAGAACAAGTATTTCTTGAGACAGTTTGTGCGATGGATAGAGTTTGCCAAAATATTTGTGGTCAAACTTGAAAAACAACTATCCGATCTCCCCCCGTAAATACATGATTAAAAAAAATATATTTCCAGCATTATTATAAAATTTAATGTATGCCTGATTGGCAGGTGATAAGTACATACATAGATATATTCTGTTTGATTTCATAAAAATTTACTTGAAACAAAGCAAAAAATTTATTTTCATGTTAAATCAATATTACATAGATATGTGGATGTAGGGATTTAAGGTGGAACTTAATTTCTATTCAAATTAATTTGTATATAAGCATCTTGTCCTGCATATTATTTTATTAAGACGGTCATGGACCATGACTCATGGTCATTTAATATTACTGAGGAGGGGAGCTTGCGAGGTTGATAATAACAGATCTTGATGCCCTTTGGATATGTGGTAGGGACCCATGAGTGTACTAAAACCCTGAATTGGTTTGACTCCATGGCCACATTTACGCCCGGCACACCCACTCAAAAATGCCCAAAAAACGCTTTCACTCCAGTTTTCACTCACTCAAATCCACGCCAAAAATCCAATTTTACTCGGATTTTGAAATTTCTTTCACCAATATACTCCCAGATAGTTTCTTTCTTCAACCCAATATCAAACTCAATTTTTTCGAAATTTTTAGTATTTTTAAAATTTAAATTTCTGAATGAGCATTGTTGTAGCAATCAACAAGGCAAATTATGCCTGCGAAATAATAATCAGCAAAATTGAGTTTGATATTGGATTGAAGAAAGCAACTATCGGGGAGTATATTGGTGAAAGAAATTTCAAAATCCGAGTAAAATTGGATTTTTGGCGTGGATTTGAGTGAGTGAAAACTGGAGTGAAAGCGTTTTTTGGGCATTTTTGAGTGGGTGTGCCGGGCGTAAATGTGGCCATGGACTCAAACCACTTCAGGGTTTTAGTACACTCATGGGTCCCTACCACATATCCAAAGGGCATCAAGATCTGTTATTATCAACCTCGCAAGCTCCCCTCCTGAGTACTGATTAAACAAAAAACAATGAGCAATCCAAATCGTCAACTCGCACATAGCCCTGGCTTCGCTTGATTGACAGCAGAGCATATACCAAGTATTCTTGAAGTTCATTGCTCGATAAAGGTCATGTATCGGTTTTTGATAAGTATACCGTCAGATCTTCGGCAAGATTTGTTCAGCTAGGGGACCAATAAAAGTTAGAGCGGATCCAATAGCGAAAGCGTTTGATAGCGAAAGCGTTTTCCATGAACCAGGCTTCAAACTTGGGGACAATGATGTTGCGTAAATGTTCTTCCATTTCTTAAGCATTTCCCGTGTTTCAACGAGACCTGACGCCACAATTCTTCCTTGAATTCCTTCTTGTAATGTTTCTTAGAAAGACGGGAGCTTGTGTACCACTCTTCCCCAAACCCTTCAAACACATATAAATACCTATTTTTACTCACCAAGACCAACTGTTGGAGAGAAATTGCTACTTTACATGGTCCATCCTTCTGCTTTTCATCTCAAAATACTTTCCTCTTGCACACGGACAACGGTGAATATAGCAGCCTTTTGAAGACAATGGGAATTATTATTAGCTAGATGCATCACAATTTAGACGCTCGTCTCGCGATTGCAATAATTTTTTTCATAATTTTTATTGTCATAATCCGCTACGAATTTCAACGAGTTTTGGAATAGCATAAACACAAAGAGAGGAGACTGGCTACTCGGGGGAATGCATCTTTTCACCAGAATGGCATGGATTGGATGAAATGATCATCTAAAATTAAGTGGCCACTTACTTCGACAAGTTAGATAATACACCAACATCTAACCAATCATATTTTTAGGGGGTGCCTCAGGTCTATATTTATCATAAACAAAAAACAGTGGAAAAAACATTTCCCAAAAAAGAAAGAAATAATTCCCGAATCCCCACCTCCCAAGCGGGTTATGGCTTTTGACACAACCAGATGTCAGTTAATAATTACTATTGGGTAATAATCTGAGGGACGCACCACCTTGACAATAAAGCCCATACTTGTCATAGATCTCAAACCCGAGCATTTAATGATCTCAGGTTTAACAATCACAATTTTATTGATCAGAGCATAAGCTGTGTTCGCAGGGTTTTGTACAAAAAAAATCACAAGAAGTGTCGCAAAAGACTGACTACGCAGGAGTCGCTCAAAAAACGGTCCCTAACTTATAAAAACTGCAGAAAATCGCAGAACAAGTCCGTAAGAATGGGAGAAAGAGATAACGGGCTACAAATAGTATATATACATACATACACATCACCCCAAAAAGACAGACAACAACTATTAATTATTGTTAGTTTTACAAAATACCTGAAAAATATCAACTTCAAGATGTCCACCAAAGCGGGTAAAATAACGATCCAACCCACGAAATTTTCGGGGAAAATAGATAAACGAGGACCCTTTTAAATATTTCCAATCATTCAATTTAGCTGCAACGTCCAAAAATTGGACGGATGAGATTAAGATTAAATTAATTCCAAACTTTTTAGTAGACACAGCTCATCTCTGGAATTTAAACAATATTCGAACTATATTCGAGAACGCAACAAGGCAGCAACGCCCGCCGCGTCCGGGACACCCACTGTAGTAAATTAATTACTTAGGATGAATTTACAGAGGCACAACAAGACGCTTTCAAAAATGTGGCCTCCACAGAGGTCGCTAAGCAACAATTATTATCCCGCAAGCAGCAAGCATCGAGTGGACGAATCCCGTTAGGATTACCCGTGTTCAATGCTCGACCTCATCAACGATTATAGCATACCTGGAGAAAATTTATTTTTTGGCCTCGAAGACGGTAGAGCAATTAGACGGTTTGCTGAGACGCAATTTATGCTAACGCAATATGCTGAAGTTAACTCCGTCACTGCATCTCCTTTGGTAGATTCGATAAAACAACTCTGTCAGGAAGCACAGGCTTCCATAATCAACACTGTAAATCAGAAGTTGGAAAATATTGAAATAAGACTAATGAAAAATAACAATCCCATTTTATCTTCACCTTATCAAGGTGTAAATTCAAGGCAATTCAAGATACCTAGATATGCAAGCGAATCGATAATAATCTGCACCTTTCTGCAATTAAATCGGTCATGTGGCTGATCAGTGCAGGCAGAGAAATAATAATTCATGGCAGTCAACACAATCTACTTTTTGCAACCATTGTAAACTTTCTGGCCAGCAGACGACAGATTAATTATAGTCGGCAAATAACCACAAATACTAAGCAATCATTTATGAATCCTCGGTCATACATTTTTCCTGATCACTTCATAAACCTGTGTCCGAATCAGGAAAACTCCAAAGGGGGGAATCGCTCGACTAGCATATCAACCCCCCAATTACCGCGTTCGCACAACCCTCCAAGTCGCCCATATGCCCTTCTCATGCCAAGCTCACATTATGCTTTATCTAGGGTACACGATCAAGTAAACAATCGAAAAGCCACGGTATTACTCTATAGTTGTTCGAGTGTCTCCATTATAAATTCATCATTTGTGGAGCATTTAGATTTTATTGTAAAAATAGTTGGAGTGACTAATCACACCACCGAAATTAAAGGTCCATCTTTAATAACTATTCAGTTTGCTACGATTAGCACAAAATTCGAGTTTAACTGTTAGACAAAGTAGCACAAAATTCGAGGTTTATTCACTTTTTTGCTTTTTGCTCAAGTTTAGTGTCAACCATAACGAGTATTGTTCACTTTTTATACAATTTTGTTCACACATTTAAAATATATAGGTTTTTGGGCACTTTTTCTATTCGTTTTTTCACGTATTGAAAATATATTGAGTGCACTTTCTTCTAGCAGTTCTTTCACGTTTGAAAGTATTTCGAGCTTTATTCAGCTTTTTACACGAGTTTTTCCTCATTAAAACTATTTAACAGTCACCAATTTATTAAGACAGGAGTCCGCTTTACAAACAAACTCGGTTGTTAATAAATAACACCGCAAGTTTGCAAGCTTCACAAGATATTCTACGATTCTTCCGTTATAAAACCAAGCGTCACAAAATGTGAGGAAAAAACGTGGCCTTTACCGGTTATCTTTCTCTTTTTTATTTTTCAACAAAGCAAGTAACCTCGTGCGCGAAATTTATAAGTTCACGAAATAAGATTTCACCATGTGAATATATTTTTTCGTCATCCATCGTCTTCATCACTAACAATTTGGGTACGGCTGTGGGTACAATTTTTAAAATTATTATACAGGTACATAGATACATAATAATAATCATCGTCGTCGTCGTCCTAGTTGTATAATGTCAGTTTCGTATACAATTCGCACCACATTTGTGAATTGTGATTTTCTTAAAATTATAATTTGTGCCAGACAATGTAATTATGTATATATTTATTTATGATCATCATTATCATGACGGTTGGAGGACTGGTGGTCGTGAAAATGAAAGCATTCGTTCGTCGTCGTCACAACCTGTACCGTACATTCGGTTCGTTTTTTTGAAGACTATATTTCTATTTGTGTACTCATTCATTAACTAACTACCTACCTACCATATTTTGTAGGTTTATGAATGAGGTGACAGAGGAGGAGGTTGAAATTATCAACCTGTCCCCCGCGAGCCTCGCTATCGACACAGCAATCGCCACCAACAGATTGGAGACTGGTCGTGGTGCAGGCCACTAAATATTGTTTTAGTGATGGTGATGTTGTTGTTTTGTGTTTGTGTGTCTGAATGTTTTTTTTTTTAAATATGATTTTCGTGAATGAATGAGTGTGAATGTTTTATATTTTTATTTCATAATTTTTTGTGACGACGACTGGGGGAAAGAAA